TGCTGCCCAAATCTTCATAAATGGTTTCTGCCCATCTGTTTTGCATGGGCAATCAGGCCTTAACGCCAACCCAAAGTAGACGATCATTATAAAAAATTTGTGTACACGGTGATTGGGATTTAATGCAGGAGGAGGGCCAAGTTTATGTGCTGTGACTTGGCAACTGATTTACATGAATTCTGAGTGTTGTGCTGCCTTCATTTAGCATATATTTTCTGTCTTTGATGAGATCCTTACAAATAGGCATGCAACAGTCAAAAACAGACACTATTAGGCTAGTGCTGTTTCAAAAAAAGCAACGGCTCCAATAAAGCCGTACAGCTATGTCTCCCACAGTTCATAGCCTCACTCGTTGGTCATTTTCTAGTTCCCGTAAGGCGTTCTGTCTCGATGCCGAATCTTAGTAGGATGCATCTGCAACCAATACTTAGTAAGGCGTACAGTGGAAAATGTTTTATATGAGATGTTTTAGAACAGTATTGGCCGACGCGACTTACATACAGACCTGATATTACAGTGAAACATCATGTGTCTCTCTAATCATGCGGTCTTGCCTGAAACAGACGCCTTGATTTCGCCTTTCTTGTCGATTACCAGCTGTACATTCCTGACAGCCATACGCCTGGACGCCATGTAGCTAATCTGAGCCTCCATGTAAGAATCCATAAGCCTTATTATCGCTTGTGACTGTTTTGATGACATGGGTACGTAATAACAATACCCGACTGGCCTGATTCATAAGCAGACTTATTTTGCCCGGGTGTATCGACGAGGGATAAGTGCCTTTTTTCCCATGATGTCACATTGTCCCGACATAATAGGACACGGAATTTTTGTTGGACAGTAAGCCAGTTATGTTCGTAGCAGTTTGTTGTTGCAGGTTCTCTGTTTTTGTCTCATGCTATTAGGCGCACAACCGGTCCTGTGAATTTCTGGATCGGGACGGCTGTCGAGACGGAACATCAGAAGGTACCCAAGGCAGGGCAGAAATGTGCAGCCGATATTAGCTATGACCGATGAAACTGACACAAATAAGAAGATGGTGTGAATACCGACCTGAGCATGTATTCGAGAAAAAGTCCGGGATGATATTAGCCGATCATTTGTGGCTGCGCGGACTACCCCAATTAGTGACATTGTCAGTTTCAAGGTGCCGATACGTCGGAACAGGAGCTGTTGAGTTGTAAATACAACGCGTGCTTGATTACTGTACGACGTGTAAGTCTTTTGTAGCTTATTTCCAGGAAACTTGGTCAGGAAGCGCTAGCCTAGCTTTATGATTTGAGGATATATTATTCTTTCATCACTGAAGCAAATCAGTTGCAACCGTGTGATTGGAAGCTCACCCAGCACACAAGATTGTGCTCATTAGTTTCTTAGCAGAGAACAACGTCAGCTTTCTGGTTCCTGAGCAGCTTAGTAATATAACGTGCTGGTGGTCCAGACAAGTAAGGTTCTCCAATCTTATTAGTTCCTAGAACTCTTCCTAGACTTTGGATCGTGTGTACCTGTGAGGAGGAGCCTTTTTGTATTTTTATTTTGCTACACAAGACTCAAATTTCTGCCTTACAGAACGTAATTGTAAGGGGGGTGTTCGGCTAAGGGGACAATTATATTTAGCTGGCAAGATGATCGACAGGGACAAAGTCAGAAAGAGCGTTTGTACAATTCTTTTTTGTTTTTTCGGATTTATTTTGAAAGGCAGACGAGAAAGTTGAAACTTCATTTTATCAGACAAGATGCATAGAGCAGCTTTCTTTCAGCACGAAGAGACATGGCCAAGGTCAAAGACGTGGAACATCAGCTATGTCTATTGTCTCTCCAGTATACAAAAACTTGGTACAGTCCACATGTTGCTTCTAGTCACGGCATGCATGGCTCGTGATTTGACAGAGATGGGAAGATCAAGCCAGACCAACTGCAAAACTGAAGCCGACAAGTGAATGCTCTACTCTAAGTCATATGGATCATGGATTCGTTCGACACAAAGTCAGTCGGCGGAGATAGACTACTCCATAGCAATTTCCACCCTCAGACTGTTCAACAACAATACTCACCATTTCCGGATATTGTTCACCCGCCGTTCTGTATATTTTGGTATCAAAGCTGCCATTGAAGAGAACTTTGCGTACCACCCCTCACAGTTGGCCTCTGCTCTACTTTGAAGGCACAGAGGATGGAGAAGGAGTTGTGACTCCTCATAACACTGAAAAGGGGTTCCATATTTGACACTGTGCTTTGGGAAGGTTGATAATTCGACGTTGCTTTGGCCCGTCCGCACTTGAGCAGACAATTCTATCTTGGCTATTGTTCTAAGCTTATGTATTCCCAAGGTCTAGAAGGAGGTTTGAAGTTAGAAACTTTGTAAATACCGCTCACTACTGGCTCCGGCATCATTTTATGTGAAGTCATAGGCCATTTGAAGGGACTTCCAAACAACGGCTAGCAGCCAAGACAGAGATAGGATATCGGAGCATGGCACTATGCCATGGTTTCGCCAGCAATGATCCCGGACTGGATAAGTGCCAAAGCAGTTGAAACATGATCAAGCCCCTAGGTGGCCAGCCTGTTGAGGCAGGATAAGCTCCTTCCTCCGCTCCAGCGAACAAAAGAGGCAGCTCGGAAAAACAGGCATCGTCTTGTTGGGGCTCCCAAGTAACTCAACATATCGTTAACCCCTGGCGAATCTGGTGGTCGAGTACTCATGTTGTGCCTGCTAAGATAAAACCAGAGAAAGGAGTGCTCGAGGCCGACCGTCTAGACAGACCGCCTCAATAGTGGCCATTAGAGCCAGCAGACGGTATGCTGTTTGGTGGTGTTTTCCTTATCTCGTTCTCATATTTTTGTCTCTTTTCTCCTTTATCGTTCTTTTTAAGTTTACTGTCCACGTCATCTTGTTGGATCCTTTCCCGGTTCTTTCAACGACTTTCGTACTTCCTTGCCGACTTCAGCTTGTCTCTTCTAGTGCGCAGGGACATTCGAGAGCCAGCCATCGTGGTAGCTGCACTTTCAGCAAGGAAACCGGTAGCGAAGAATTGGGTGTGGGACCGACCACGTGGATTGGCACGACAGAAACACAGTGAAGCTATGAGTCTTAGTTCATCAGCATTATGGTCGAAATTGAAAAAAAGACGAGTCGACAGCAATGACAGACAGCTAACGAAAGCACAGAGTGGCTAATGATAAAAAACTGGAAGCTCTTAGCCTCCGCCGTATCTGAGGACGAAAGAGTCGCTATTAAATCGTAAAGGCCCGGATGTGCAGGGCTTTTTCCGGCGTCGCCAGCTCCGAGGACAGCAATTGGCACAAAGTTCGGAGAGGCCGGCGAGGCCGGCTGCAAGAACAGAGCACACTGCGTCTGATTTTTGGCGCACACCCCCTGGGCAAATCAGCCGCTGCAACTCGGAAAAGTTCCGGACGTACGCGCCCGATAGCAACGAAGAGGCATTGCTGTCTTTTGGCTTATCACCTTTGTGCTAATCTTTTCTTTTCCCCTTGGTTTCGGGTTTTTCTAGTTGTGGTTCTCCCAAGATCTGGATCGATAGTATGCTGTGTTGTCAATTCAGCCTGACTTGGCTTTTTTTTGGTTTTCTGGAGGGTTGGAGTCTGCTTTATCGTTTGGCTTCGTCTTGAGTTCTTAGCGCCTGCCAGCTGTCGGGCCCGAAACAGATGGCACGAGCGAGCGGCAGCCGATAAACAAAGCAGCTATCGCCGATCTAAAAGGGCCGTCCCTCGCCAGATGAAGTGAAATGCAGCTGACAGCTCCAATACATCCAAATCCTAGTGACCCTGCCTTCTGTTCATTATATTCAAAATCGGGAATTTCCATCTTCTGCACATAGCAGTATCGTTCTCTTGACGTTCGCAAGAGGAAAAGGGGGCGAGCTGGACAGCCGAATGTGGGACAGGGGTTTCCTGCATGCAGCATATCGGATCGGTTCCAATCTTTTTGAGTGTGAGAGTGGTAGTAGCCGCCGGGTTCTCTGCAGCCCAACGAGAACTGGACGCTTGCAGCGTAGTCGGCCGAACCATGGATGCCAGAAAAACTGACAGATTACCCAATCTTCTCAACGCTTCTGGAACGTTTCACAGCAGGAAAGGCGGGAAATCGTGCAGACGTAAAGCAGATCGATGATGCAGTACCTGGGCCGTAACAAAGAATTATGAGGAGGCAAGCCACCAAAGACACGGCGGGGAATAGGGGCCAGCCCTTGGAAAGATAAAGCAGGTCGGTTTCTGCCCGCTTCCCTCCAACTCTCCGCCTGACGTATTCACTGGCTAGAGGCAGCAATCCTCAGCCTTGTCTATGCTGTCCTCTTCATATTCACCCATTTTCTGTCTTTCGTTCTCCCTCGGCAAGACCCAGATCCCTTCATTTCAAGAACTCCATCTGCAAAAGCAAATTGAAAAAGCTTTCTGAAGCAAAATTGCCACTTCGGCCCCCCCCTGCATCATCGAACTGACAGCATGGCACGAACCATGTTCTCGTGCTCTCACCGCCGTTCACTGCTGCTGTCTCTACTGCTGGAATTAAAGCTCGGACGTCCTCACCGGTCTGCCAGCCCCGTTTTCCCTTCTTCCATGTGACGGGGAAGACACTGCCACACCAGCTAGCACTGTCGATGGAATTGGACTTGCGGTGAGAAAAGGTTCGGTAGTCGGTAGGAATTGTGCTGTCAGTCTTCTTTCCTTCACAAGTAGAGCTAACCTCACCTCGAATAGTCATCCCGCTTCCGTTACCACTTCGTCACCGGTCCTCGAACAGACTCCCCAGTCCAGACTGTCTGTGACAAGCAGACCCACGTGCGGCTCTTCGATCCCTACAAGGCAGTGCCCCAGAAATCTCCTAGAAGAGGACATCGAGTCCACCACCGACTGTATCCTCGATCTTAACGTCACACCATCGCGGCAATATTAGACACTGTATCAGCGGCCGATAGTGGCCGCGTCATACATCACAGCGGATACTGTCGTCACGGAACAGACGTTTCCACCTTCCTATGGCCTCGCAGAAATCGACTGAAGAGACCGATGCCACCTCTTGCCAGCTGCCAGTAGCCGAAACAGATGCAACCTCTGTCGAAGGAGAATCTGTGGCGGCAGAAGGGCAACCTGGCAGCTTGGAGACACTAGCCATGGCATTGGACAATCGTTCCTTTTTCGGCGCGTCGTCGATATCGGCAACAAACTTCAGAACATCCCTGGCACAACGGCCCGAGAGAGAGATGTCGCGTGTCGACCCCCTTTTTCTTCAAATCGGAAGTCAATTTGCCGCTCATGTCTCCTCCGGTACCCAGAGCTCTGCCCCTTTCGGCGGCAGGCCGACAGTAGTCAACTTGAATAGCCGCGAGATGTAAGTGGGCCTTGATGAATCACGTTGTGACGGGAGAACTACTTCCGCCTACAAACGGCAATATTCTGATCGGATCGCAGACTTGTCTCCATGATAGCTGAGATTCAACGTAGACCTCATAGCATGCAAGTCTTCTGCATTCCAGGTCGTCCGTGATGGTTAGACCTGCTGCTAATGTCTATGCCTTCATAGGTTCTTGCTCAATGGGTCCTTTACCTATACTTCCAATGCTGTTCTTGAATCCGACACGATGGGCCTTGGTGTTATCACGACTGAAGAACTCCAAACGACCGACGGCACTGCCGAATCCTCTGATGGCAATTCAGATGGCAATGGAGTCATTGCAGCGCAGTTCGAGGATACAGTATAGGGAAAAGTCAGCATTGATGGTGTGCGATGAGGGATAGAGGCTGTGTGTTGTTGCCGGCTTTCATGATTGGCAACCGGTAAGATATCCCATAGCCCGCTACACTGGCAGCAGCTAACCCTCCTTCTGAATGATGGCTAACGCAGTGAAGTCTGAAAGCTATTAATATTGTTGTCCTTGCTGCTTCGGTCGGTGTCCCAGGCACTTGCTGCTCCGCAGTTGCTTGTGTTGATTTGTGAAATATGTTGATGTGCTGAGCTTCTTAGCAGAGGGTGGGTGTGCAGTCAGGTTGTTCTGTAATATTTGTTGACTAATGTGTGCTGGCAGAGATATGTGCAATGTACTGAATAAAAACAATAGGTATCTGAATTTGAGTATGTCGTCGAAAGAATCGCAACCGTTCTTGGTCTTGCTTTGAGTCCAGGAGCTGTCCCAGGAGATAAAAAAATGTGAAAGGAAACAGACAAGAGAGCAGCCACTGGGCTCTCTCAACCTTTTGCTTTTCTACCAAGCATGGGTACTCTCTGCCAGGCTGTCCAAGAACGGAGCCTAATGCATTGTCGACAACTTCAATCACGTTCCCAATATCATGTCAAGATATGATTGGACAATGAAGAAATGGCCGGTGTATGGCTCATGTGAGACGGATGGCCAGCGTATAGAAAACCGGAACGATCCTGCAAGCTTGAAGGAGCAGCGGAAAGACCTTTGGGTTTCATTCCTACGCCTTCATGAAAAAGAAAGCAGAAAGATATCGGTGAGACTAGGAATCAAGCTAACACCGGACTTTGGATGCCTTTTTTTCTCCGTAAGAGAGAATTTCGATATCTCGATTGTTATTGCTGGACGGGTGATGAGAAGGAGACAATCGACTTTCGACTTTCGGCATATGTAGGCGGCAAGCTCAACTAACCCTGGATCCATGGCCTACATAAAACAGAGGCCACCGCCTTTTTGTGATGCTCGGCGAGATCCTCAAAGAGCAGTGGACCCATCCGTCACCGCACTTCTACTAAGGAGTTAGTGAAGGGGCTGAATTCGACAACCGGCCGGTCGCTACTCTATATGGAAGGCTCAGCTCTAGAAATGACCGGAGATATTTATTTGAAACCCTCCGCATCTTTAGAGGTACCATTTTTGCTGCCTTCAGGCGTATTCTCTTCCTCGGCCCACAAAGGACTCCCTGGAAAGCCGGGGTGGCGACGGTCTCACAAGCCCCTGTGCAGAGTCGTATTAGCAATCGCTATGGAATATTGATTGTGGAAATGCTTCCTTCTTTACTCCGTATAGGCAGTCCGACTCGCCGATAGGAAGAAGAGACGCAGATGAATAAGGGTGAGTGTGGCAAGCCCATGAAGCAAGACGAACACTAGTTGGGTGTAGTAATAGGGGTAGACTTCAAGGGAGAGATTATCAACACCCATTGAAGTTAGCTGTTGCCAAGCAGCCCAATGTTCCTTGCCTCCGACTTTTAGGTTGTGGCAAAAGTAAGATATGGTACAATATAGAACACAACGGGTTCAGTTCGATGCCAATAGTTGTTACACGATGTACTTTTATCAGCCAACATGACTCGCCAAAGGAAATTGCGTTGTTTAATTTTCTGGCCCCATTCTAAGTACGAAAACAGTAAAGTTGTCTATAATCAATACATACAGAGTACCGATGGGTATTTTACACAAAACACGATGATGGACACATATCTGGGTCGAGTTTGCAAGTAGGGGGTACGACTTATCTGCAAAGATAGCTCAACCTGCATTTCCCAGCTGCGAATGCAGCTGCAGAGTAATACTCCGTAGTTCCGGCCCATTTTTTTAGTTTATTCGAATATTATCTTCCGTACCAAGAACCAAGCTGTCGGTGGCAATGTTTCAAGCAGAATCTAGATAACAGGAGCCGTGGAAAAAAATAAGCACGAAGGCGATTGATCGAGCATAAGGGTATGTGCTCTGTATGGAGTACGGAGAGGCCGAGCTTCAGCTAGACTAAGCAAGTAGCATAGCCCAATACGGAGTAAGATACATATTATAGGTCAGGATATAATACTACTTGTCTATTCGCTAAAATTGTACGGTACGTTGTATCACTCTACTTCCCGATTGCTTGGTGGGATTCTAGAAAACAAGGGCTGGTCTTGAGGCCCAATCTCACACCGCTACACTCTACTCTACTTCGTCTCCTCTCGATGCAGCTGGTACGCACCCCCAACTGCACCCTCGCCACACGAACGGCAACAGCTCCATGTCATCCGGGCCAACTACTGCAGCCTCATCGACGTTCGCCACCGTGGGCGTTGTTGCTGCAGTTGCAGTTGCAGTCGCAGGTGCAGGTGTGGTTGTAGTTGCAGCTGATGCGGATGTCGATGCCAGATACGACAGATCAATGTCCGACTTTGCAAACTCCCACCACTCCAGCCACTCGGTCATGGGCGCCACCAGGAGCTGCCACCGACAAAGCGAGCATGCCGCACCACCCGCCTCGCGCAGCGCCCGGGCTCGTGCCAGCTGTCGCGCCAGCTGCGGTGGCGCGTCCGAGGGCAGCAGTTCGGCCAGCTGGCCCAGCTGCGGCACGCCATAGCAGGCCTCCAGGGCGAGCTCCATGAGCGTGGGCACGCGCGATGCCGTCAGGCCCGAGGCTTGTCTGTCCCGAGGTCCGTCCGCGCCCCGGGAGAGGTGTGGCAGCGTAGACCACGGCGGCGTCGGGGCGACAGCCAGGTCTTCAGTGGTCATCAGGCCAGACGTGCCCGGCTGCATGGCAAAGTCGGACCAGGTCTTGCCGGTCGAGTCCATGTAGCGGACGCGCGAGCGGGCGACGCGCGTCGGTCGTGCCAATGGCCGGCGTGGTGTCCGCTGTGTGCCTGCCGTTCTCTGCTTCTCGCTGCCTCGATGGACGATCACGCTGCCGTTGTCATCGTCGTCGTTGTCGGCGTCGTCTTCCCCTTCTTCTCCATCCCGGTCATCGGAAGTGCGGGTCTCCTCGTCTGGCATGAAGTACCGGTTCGGGTGCGCGAGCAGCATTGTCAGGCGGCCGCCTTGGCCATATGTGTGAAGTAGCGGGAGTAATTCGGCGGGCAGGTAGCGCAGCTTGTTCAGAGACACGTTGAGGGATTGGAGGTTTCGCAGCTTGCCGATGGCAGGAGGTAGCTCTGTCAGCCCGTTGCCGCGCAGGCTTAGGACAGTCAGGTGTTCGAGGTTGAAGAGGGCGCCCGGGAGCCGGGTGAGTTCGTTGTTCGACAGGAAGATCTGCAGCCGTGGCTCTTTCTGCTCAAAGGCAACGCCTTCGGCAACAACGGGGATGGGCACGAGGCCTGACAGCGGCTCCACCGTTGCATTCGATAGGGAGTTGAGTCCAAGGCCACTGTGACGGTTAGATTGATGGTTCGGTGAGAAGTCCCAAAAAGAAAGGGAACCAAGACAAGACGCACATCAACGAGATCTCTTCGTCGCCCGCCTCGATGCACTCCTGGATGATCGACCGCACCCTCTTCTCGGCGCTGCTCACAGCCAGACTCGGCACCCGCTGAAAGATGCGCCGCTGCCGAGGCGGAGGCGGAGGGAAGTCTGCCTGTGCTGGTGGTGGTGGTGGCGGTGCCAGAGACAGCTGTGAGGACAGCTGTGAGGACGTGGAAGCGAGCGATGCTGCCGGTGGAGAGTCGGGCATGGCCTCGTCTTCGTCTGCTGTCCCGCTGCCCATCCACACGCCGCTGTCGTACTGGCGCTCGAGTGTGCGCTTCTTAGGCAATCTCCGGACTGGCGACGGGGGAAGCACCGTTGTTCTCGGGCTGGCCATCGGGGCTGCTGCTGTCGTCTCTTTTCTGTATTTTGTGTCCTCTGTATCCTCTGTGTCTGCCGGTGCTGTCGGCTCCATAAAGTCGTCAAAGGCAGAGTCTGTCGAGGCAGGATGCTGCGCAAACCATGCGCCCACATAGCGCTTCTTCTTTTTCCGCCGGTCAGACGCGTAGTTGTCGAGAGCCGGGTCGTCGTCGCTGGAAAAGACGGCCGGATCGCTGGAGTTGGACAGCAGCTGTGCCGAAATGTCGCCGCGCAAGTCGAAACGGGCGCGCTTGCGGGCAGGACCAAAGATCGCTTCGGCTGCCTTGGACGGAGGGATCCGCGGAAGCGTAGGCTCGTCGGCCATGATGGCGGGGAACAGTGTCGCCGACAGGTTAAACTGCCCGCTTGATGTCGTCTGGCTGCAACCAGATCCGAATTGGATCGGAACTGTGGGATGTGGGATGTGAGACACAATTGGACGCTGTGATTCGACCGTCAAATAAAAATATAAAATAGCGAAATGTGAGCCGAAAAGGCAAGGCGCAAAGAGCACGGGCAGCAGCTATGTCTCCCGGAATTGTGCAGGCCCAGACGGCGGAATGGAGATCGAGGACGGCGACGAAGACGCGTTCCAAAAGACCACTCCAGCAGAGACCCTACGCTTCCGGCGCTGCTTGATAAGGAAGAAACGCGAGCTATTACGACGTAGGGTCGCGTGACGACGAGCCAATGAAATCACAGCCGGTTTGACAGCTCCAAGTGGGGCATCCGATCAGCCAGCAACTACGGAGTATGATGTCAGATATGCCAACTCGACATAAACATATATTCTTTGCTGTCAGTTTAAGGGAGCCAATCAGAGCCGCACAAGGAAGAAAGAACAGTCCTGCGTTGCTCAGCTTGTTCAACTTGTTCAACTTGTCCAGACATCGCTTTCCTGGCGACTCACTGTCCATTTGACGAACTCGCAGAGTCATGGACGTTTGGCCCGTCAGCGCGAGAAGTATATAAATGTGCCTCCTCTCACCTGTGCTGTACAATGTGTATTTCTAGTCTATAATAACAGAAACCGCAACTTCAACTCCGAGTTCAAGCAACTACGCAGTAACCCACACAGGTAACGTATCGTGCTACAGTCACAAACAGTCTTACAACATCCCGGCCTACTCACCCTACCATCTTGTCACAATCATTATGCCACAAAGCACCTTTTCCAACGTAGATTGTCTCCAGCAGACGGCCGAGAAGGTTAAGTTCCCCAGCATGAAGCAGGCCTTCAAAAAAACATTCCAAGCTAACCACCAACAGCCAACCGGGAAGCCCGCGGTAGCATCTGACAAGAAGCTTGGTAGCGAGCAGGCCACAACTATTTGTCAGTCGCCTCTAGCCGGGCATTATAACGACAAGGAGGAGCAAACGCCGCTTATAGATAGGGAAGGCGCAGATAAGGCGACAGAGCGGAAGCAGAAAGTCGTATTCATTATCGGACCTGAGGAAGAGGAGGAAGAAGAGCAAAATTGTAAGTCCGAAGTCAAGCCGAAGGCTTTCGTCTGAGATTGCCTTGTCAATATGTAAGTGCTTATCATCTTTCTTTGTCCGGTGTCGTTGGTTCTTCTGTCAGTTTTGTCGCATCAGACGCCTTACGCTTGCCTTTCATGGCACACACATACAAAAAGAAGTCTAGATTCAAACAAGATGAACCACACCTTGTACCAAGGTTTTTGTGTAGATGTGACGCAACTCAAATCGTAAGATTAGTAAACGAATCCCCAATTGTCAAACGTGTTCTTTCTACAGTCACAGCCTTGCCTTGTAAGCCCTGCCAATGCGTAAAGTATTGGGTGCTCGGCCATAAATTAGGCGAAGGCGTTCACTAGGCTTTCTCCCGTGTTTTCGTCACTCAAGGCTGAAAGCCTTGTAAGACAATCAAGGTTGCTGGGATTATTTTACTAGGTATAGTTTCACTACGAGGGTCGTGCAAAGCAGGGATCGGTTACAGTACGCCTGGTGTCAGGCAATTGTCGGCGGCTGCGCAATTATTCTTAAGGCATCTGGGCAGCTGAGTAACATCAGACGAGGAGTTCAAGTGCTACAAACTGGGGTCTCAAACGTTCTTACTGAATATAGGCAATGCAGGAATCGGTATGTAAGATACGTGTTCCGGGAAGAAACGGGAACTGCTAAAGTATTTAGCCATCTAATTGTCAGCCACGGTGTCGTAATTCATATCTCCACTTTGAGGCAGTCCGGTGATGTTGTAGCTCACTCTGCGATTTGTGTTGCCATAACTATTATTCTGATTCCTTTCTTCCCATATGCCTTTCAGTTTTTGAATTATGCATTCGGTTTCTCTGATAACAAGCCTGCACGTACTTCGGTCTGAGCTATGTAATGGATACTGTGGTAGACGGAGGACCGCCGCATTTCAGATGTGCAAACAGATAAAAGCTTTGCTGTGGACCACACGGAGGGGGTCTTGGCCATGAGCAAGCAGTCACGAAGTAAGCAGCAATAGTCACAGGCTACGATAAGATAATTCAGTCTCTTATTTCGATACTCTGCGCCTGGTGTCGTTGGAAGGCCGCCATTCAGTACGAGACAACTCTACAATCTCTGTTGGCCGTAGCCGTGAGGACCACGACTTGGCCTTTACTTCTGGTTGTTCGACCCGGTGTTGGAACTGCCGCTGCCGCTGCTTCCACCATATCCAGACGACGTTTTCGAGCCACCGGATGACGTGTACGTGCTGCCACCGTCTCCATTGTTGTAGTAGGTGCTGCCATTCGGATTGGCGTAGTAGTACGAGCCGTCACTGCTCCAGTTAGTAAGAGAGACTGCCGAATCATACGATGAGGGGTAAACTTACGTGTTGGAGTAATGGTAAGAGTTGGATCCATTGCCATAGTCACGAGCGCAATAGTGATTGCCCTAACGGCGGTGTAGACAGCTAGCTAAGGTAGTAGCTAGTATAGTATTACTTTAAAGGCTTTTTAGATAGTTTTATATAGCCTTTTATAAGGCCTTTTAGCTAGTTAAATTGATTCAAGCTTTTACTTATATATTTTTGTCTTTATACGCTTACTATATATATACTACTTAATTGCTACGTATATATTTTTTATATCTTCTTTTAGCACTCACTAGTTATATTTAGTTAGTTAGCCTATTTAATATACTAAGTATTTAGTTTAGCTAGCCTTATGTCTTTTATTTAAGACTACTTTTACTTTTTATTTATTATTTAAGTCTTTTAATACTAGTATTATTAAAGGCGCTTATTCTATACTTGCCTTACTCTTTTAGTGCTTTAATAGTAAGACTAAGAAAATGTTATATAGTTAGCTATATTATTTTAATAGTGCTAGTTAATATACTTATCTACTTATAGTCTTAAGGATTCTAAAAAGCTTAATGCATCTTAGTGCTAACTATTAAAGGTGTACTTAGGTAGGCCAGGTAAGTTAGGCAGGCAAGGAGGTATCTTCTTAACAGGAGGAAGCAGCTGTATATTCAATAGCTAATTCTTGCCTTCTGCATTCTAAGGGAGTGCGGGAGGCGCTCTTTATCGTAGGCGCACCTTTGGCGCACCAAGTGCGCAGGACAGGCGCGACCCCGTTTCTACTTGGCCCGTGCGCTAGCACGTGCTGTGGCCTGTGCGCAGACTGCGCCACGCAGCCTGCGCTACTAGCACCGCTTCTAGTTTACGATGTGCATCTAATACGCTGTGCGCATACTGCGTACGGCTTGCGCGTAGCCTGCGTCGGTCCCCTTCCTAGGGCGGCGTTATAATTGCTCCTCTTCTATGCTTAACTCCCCTAAGGCAGGTCTTGACGAAAGGCTTGCAACCTTTGTTCCTAGTGGTGGTGGTGCTTGTCCGTTTGCGGCAGCCCCTTTGTGCTTGCTAAGATTGCTGTTAAAGGCGACTTAAGGCGCCTTTAGTTCTCTTTATTTAGGAGGTTAGTCTTGTAGTTAAATTAGATTATTGTAGGGTCTAGCATTTGGTTACTTTTTCTAGAAATAATAAATTCGTCTTCTAGTAGCAACATAGCTGCTTTTAATTCTAACGTTCTTATGCCTACGGTAAGCGCCTTTAGCGCTTTAGTACCCGCTGCGGCCCTAGCCCTTGCTCCTTGACACCCTCTGCCCTTTAGCTAAGGTGCTAGTTCTAGCCGCGCGTAACGTGCGCGCGGGGCTTACGCTAGCATAGTTCGTTGTTCGGCGCGGACTACGGCGCGCGCTATACCCTTAGTTAAGTGTTAAAGGTGTACTTGGGTAGGCCAGGTAAGTCAGGCAGGCAAGGAGGTATCTTCTTAACAGGAGGAAGCAGCCGTATATTTAATAGCTAATTCTTGCCTTTTGCACTCTAAGGGAGTGCGGGAGGCACTCTTTATTGTAGGCGCACCTCTGGCGCACCAAGTGCGCAGGACAGGCGCGACCCCGTTTCTACTTGGCCCGTGCGCTAGCACGTGCTGTGGCCTGTGCGCAGACTGCGCCACGCAGCCTGCGCCACTAGCACCGCTTCTAGTTCACGATGTGCATCTAATACGCTGTGCGCATACTGCGTACGGCTTGCGCGTAGCCTGCGTCGGTCCCCTTCCTGGGGCGGCGTTACAATTGCTCCCCTCCTATGCTTAACTCCCCTAAGGCAGGTCTTGACGAAAGGCTTGCAACCTTTGTTCCTAGTGGTGGTGGTGCTTGTCCGTTTGCGGCGGCCCCTTTGTGCTTGCTAAGATCGCTGTTAAAGGCGACTTAAGGCGCCTTTAGTTCCCTTTATTTAGGAGGTTAGTCCCGTAGTTAAATCAGATTATCGTAGGGTCTGGCATCCGGTCACTTCTTCCAGAAACAACAAATTCGTCTTCTAGCAGCAACATGGCTGCTCCCAATTCTAACGTTCCTGTGCCCGCGGTGAGCGCCTCTAGCGCTCTAGTACCCGCTACGGCCCTAGCCCCTGCTCCCTAACACCCTCTGCCCTCTAGCCAAGGTGCTGGTTCCGGCCGCTCGTAATGTGCTGTTCAGTACTTACTCTTGCATTGTTATAATCATATGCAATAATTGTAGATTCCTACGAACTTTCAATTTTACCATATTTTATCTTAAATTTTTTAAATGTTTTATTTTACTGTTCTATTTTTTCTATACTTTTTTCTATCTCTTTTCTCACTTCACCCTTTTTATTCTTATCACGTATAAATAGTTCTATGTTATATATATACTTCTATTATTAACCTTTCTATTCATATTGAATTATTCATCTATATAGCTTTGATTTTTTTTTTGTTTTACTTTTACTCTTATCCTATATGCTTATTTTAATCACCTTTCTTACTTTTATATTTCTCTTTTTCAGTTTTCTATTCTTCTAGTAGCCATACATAGCTTATTCTCTCTTTTATGTTTATCTCTTCTTACTTAAATATACTTTCATTCTCACTTTCTTTTTTATTTCTTATCTTTCCATTTTCATTTTTCACCCTTTACTTAAAATATCAAACATATCCTTATTCTCCTTTATCGACTATACCTCCTGCTATCACATCTATCCCATCTTCTTTTTGTATACTATCTCCTACTATTCCTCTCTTCTTTCTGTTTATTATTCTCTACGTTGCTTTCTTTTTCTTTCCTTTCTTCCACTTACTTCTACACC